TTCCGTCCCTCAGAGACAGGAAGAGGTGACACCCCAGGATGCTATGACCCACACACTCCATTCTAATCCTAGGGCGATGACCTTGGGGTGACTGGCCCAAGTCCCACTTGGATCCCTCCTGGCCTAGCATCAGGTGCTCAGGAACTCTTCAGAGTCCACAAGGACAGAGGGGAAAGTGGAGCACTTGACTGGAAAATGGGAGCCCTGAGTGGCCAAGAGCTACCTGGCACCCTGCCCTATGCTGAGGCCCCCAGCTTGGCATCTTTGTACTCTAGTTTGGTTGCATGGGCCCACCTTGAGGGTGGTTTCCAGCTTGGCCCAGAGTCCACTAAAATGCAGATATGACATCGTGCCACGTGACCTCTAGACAGTGCTTCAGCAGAAGATGGCACCAGAGCAGCCATGCGAGCACACGAAATACTTGTCCTGCTGACTGCATATTTATCCCAAGAATAATATGGAGGGGCAATATGCATCCTAGCTTTTGCAGAAGGTCATGGCCCTAAAAGTAATGCCCAGTTCTTGTTTGTCTGATTTTGTAACAGACAGTGATGTCTGGGGGGCGGTGCACACAGACACAAACCTGACTACTGGAGGACAATGTTCAGCTTGCCACCCTCTCCCCAAGGGGACACAGCTGGGCCAGCTGTGTTCTTCTTTCTGTGGTGTTGCTTGCTGAGGACACAAATGGCTCCTGCACACAAAGTCACAGCTGAGTCTCTGAGCTCTGTCCTGACAGCAAGGTCCTTAGGGGAATGTTACACTGTCATGAGTTTGTGCTGGGACTCTAGAACGACAGTTCTAGAACTAGTGTTCACAGTGCATGAATAACACGCGCTCTGTGATGTTGTTAATAGACTGCACATGCAATCTTGAGCCATCTAGATTGTTCTAAAGAAAATCAGGTAATATGTCACACACTTAATAAATAGGTGTATGAGTTAATTCATATAATTAAAAGAATCTTACAAACCTTCCCATCTGATTAAACTTTGTAATTAATGTATGTATCTTCTGGGAATAGAATAATAAAACTGAACAGAACAAGACGATTCAAGACTTGAAGAAGTTAACTGTCAATTTTATATTGATAGGAAAAATTGGGTGACACTCCTAAATAACAAGCAATTTTGGATTTTGCTCATTCATTTAGTGTATATTGGTTCACATAATTCAACTGATGTTTTCCTCATCAATTGTACCAAGGAGGGCATTTCTTATATAATACTTATATTGGATTTCAGTCAATTTAAGTCCAGAATCAAAATACAGTGTTACTGTATCTCTTTCCTGGTTATTTATCGATTGGTTACTTTTAAGTTTGCTTCATGAAGTTTGTTTTGGGAAAGGAGAAGTTACGGCACCATCAGAGAGCCCATGGGCAAATGGTGGTAAAATGCTGTACTAATTTAGTAAATGAGTATTTATTGAGTCACTACTGTATGCAAGCTTGCACTGTCTGAGAGGACTTCATCTTTCTTTGTAAGAACCATCCTTTCTGAAAAAACAAAAACCTATCATCACCCTATAATCCCTAACGCGCTGGCCATGTCCTCACAAATGCACTCACCACATACAGGGCAGAATGCCATCCTCTGTGGATTTGCAACAAACAGCTCACCATGGCACTTGTTCCAAGCTCAGGGGAAATGCTAGTTTCAACTCATTTAGAGAAAAGCCAAGCAACGCGTTTCTAGTTTGGCCTTTTCTATAAAAGCATGAAAAAATACTGACAAACCAGGTAATTCTCTAAAATTACAAAGAAGAAGTCAGAATTATTAACGTTTTTCCTCTTTGCTTTTACTTTTGTTTTGTGGGGCTGAGGATCCCCTACCGTAAAAAGCTAGACATCGATCTACCATTTGATCCAGCAATACCACTCTTGGGGATATACCCAAAAGACTGTGACACAGGTTACTCCAGAGGCACCTGCACACCCATGTTTATTGCGGCACTATTCACAATAGCCAAGTTATGGAAACAGCCAAGATGCCCCACCACTGACGAATGGATTAAGAAAATGTGGTATCTATACACAATGGAATTTTATGCAGCCATGAAGAAGAACAAAATGTTATCATTCGCTGGTAAATGGATGGAATTGGAGAACATCATTCTGAGTGAGGTTAGCCTGGCCCAAAAGACCAAAATCATATGTTCTCCCTCATATGTGGACATTAGATCAAGGACAAACACAACAATGGGATTGGACTATAAGCACATGATAAAGCGAGAGCACACAAGGGAGGGATGAGGATAGGTAAGACACCTAAAAAATTAGTTAGCATTTGTTGCCCTCAACGCAGAGAAACTAAGGCAGATACCTTAAAAGCAACTGAGGCCAATAGGAAAAGGGGACCAGGAACTAGAGAAAAGGTTAGATCAAGAAGAATTAACCTAGAAGGTATCACCCACGCACAGGAAATTAATGTGAGTCAATGCCCTGTATGGCTATTCTTATCTCAACCAGCAAAAACCCTTGTTCCTTCCTATTATTGCTTATAATCTCTCTACAACAAAATTAGAGATAAGGGCAAAATAGTTTCTGCCTGGTATTGAGGGGGTGGGGGGGAGAGGGAGGGGGGGAGCGGATGGTAAGGGAGGGGGTGGGTCAGGGGGGAGAAATGACCCAAGCCTTCTATGCACATATGAACAATAAAAGAAAAAAAAAAGTTACCTCCCGGCCCCTAAATGTTTTGTCAAATAAATGTGAATATGTCATAAGTAAAAGTACTTTTTAAAAAGATAAATTAAACACAAATGAAACCCTAAGATGTTTGAAATGTTAACCCTAAGAGTATTTGCTATTTCACTGCTAAAAGTCAATAAATTAAATACTGGTTTTTTGTTATATTGCTGTTGTACTTGGGGTACACTGTGACATTTACAAAAGTACTTACAACATAACTTAGTTAAATTCACCCCTCCATCATTCTCCTTTATCCCCTCCCTCCATTCATTTTTCCATTTCATACAAGAGTACATAGTATTTCTGCCATATTCACCTCCTACACCCTTTCTCTCCATCCTCTCCCCCCCACTGACTTCAACCCCAGTCAAGACTTGCCTGTTTTACCTTCCTAGTCTCCATTTTTGAACAAAGACATTTTTATTTGTTTAAAATATCTATACAGGGAGTTTCCTTGTTTTCCATGTATATATGTATTATAACCTGAATTGGTTCATTCCCTCCATTTTTCTCCTTTCTACCTTAGTCCCCTTCTTATGGTGATTTCAACAGGCTTAAAAATTCTATATTCATTCTTATAAATACTGATTTTTAATGTCCTAAATTCTGGCTGGGTCTGACTTTTTTCAGACCCTCCAAAAGAACAGGCACCTGGACAGCAGGTTCTGAACACAAACATAACCAAGAACAATTTCATGCCCCACGTCCAGAACTCAAGCCCTCATCATATCTTCGCACCCCACCCTCGTGTGCAGACTTAAATCAAATTAGAGTGTAGGGTAACTTAGGTGAACTGGAATTTCCTGAGGCATTACTGACAGCCTGCTCAGATGTTAGGGATTAATTGTAATTGGCAGGTCACTTAACAGCTTGGAAACCTTGAAAGGTGATACACAAAAACACACTTGTTCTCTGAGCTCTTGGGGGCTCAATTTGCCAAAACCAGGGATGGTTTCCCACCAGCAATTCAACGTGCTTTAAAAATGTCCATGTCCAGAGACAGTATCCATAGTAACTCTATTTCTTTCCCAAATTAAATTCAGGCACTGCCATATTTGCTTTTGAGATTCATGTACAGGGTTCTCATTATTTTCCTGTATGCTAATTTGTCTGATACAGAAGCAAATCAGACGTATTGTGACAAAATTGAACAAAACTCAGTTTCTAAGTTTATGAGAGAAGCACACAGGTTAATATTTTTTTATAGCATAAGGAAAACTTGCCTGAAATAATCATTCCTGAGCAAAAAGTTAAAACTCTGTCAATCCAGTTTAAATTTTCTGCCAATCCTTTGGATTTGGCCTGTTCTCAGCCGGGCTGGGGAGGTCAAGGGGACCCCAGCAGGGATGGAGTGGGGAGCGGGGTGGCACTCAGCACTTGAGAGCCAGGGGTTAAGGCAGCTGTGGTGGGAGAGCATCACACTGATGACACAGGAACACACTGGGCTCATTCCAAGTGGCCCCTGTATTACACCATCCTGTCACAGGCCATGGTCACAAGCCTTACAGCTACGTCAGCAAATGTTCCCATGTATGGTGTCTTCCCCAGGGCTTTAAGCAGGTTCAACACCAGACTCCAGCCACCCCCAGAAGACTTTCGGATGTGCACAGAGGTGTGTAGGTGAGTGAAACGAGAGTCCCCATACACCTGGTCTCCTAAACGCTGATAAACCTTTCCACCTGTCATAAGTGAATGATAAAGTGCAAATGGCCACACTCTATGTGTGTGCATCTGCAAACGTGTGCCCTTATCACCCCACTCTAGTCGATTGAGCACCTCCATGGTCCCTGACGTGGACCTTCCTCAGCACTGGAAGAGGGTCCAGTGACAGTGGGTATTTCACTTGGGAAGGTCGGAGGAAAAACAGAACCATCCACCCGGACCGTCTCCTCTAACCAGTCAAAATCACTAATCAGAGACAGAGCACAGTGCTATCCACCAAACGTCAAAACAGTCCGTTTTAAAAGCTAAATGCTCTGTCAAACACTGTTTTCAGCCGACATAAGCCATACAGTTTGGAGGATTTAAACTAGATTAGCCAATTGTTTTGACAGATCTGGAATTAGGGTGAAGGCAAAAATTTATGAACAAACATTTCCTTTTTATACCTAAAACTTAGTCCACTTGCATGTAGTCTTTCAAGTAACTTAGAAAATGCAACAAAAACACCATCATTGTGAGTATACTCTGGAGGTCAGCTTAGGAGAGTTGCTTTCACAACTCAGTGCCAAGGTCACAGCACAGCACTGAACTGCCAGGGGTGAAACCCCAAAACCAGGCCACTCTTGTAGAGATGCCCAGCCCGTTTTACCTGCATTTTTATTGGTCTTGTTCTGCCGACTTTTGACTTGCTCAGTCCAAAGGGTAGGATAGCGTGATGCAATATCTAACGAGGAAGAGAAAAGGTAATTATTTGTCATTTATCACAAAAGCACCAAGTTCTTCAACTAAAGATCTCAACAGGCAGCCTAAAAATAAAAAAACCAGCATGAGAAATAAACACACTCTGTACCTCTTCAAAGGAACAGTTAAATGATTACATCCTCAAGACAAAATTTTATATTTAGCACATATTTTTCTTCATCCAAAAGTGTAATTAAAAGCTGTTTGAATCCAAAACTGGATGTCAGAGAACACCCTACGAGAGAAAGACAGTTTTCACACAGCACACAGGTCACCCACACACACAGTGGAAAGATTCAGCCTCTGAAATAAAATTTCTGTAGAAAACTTTCCAGCCGTAGGTTATTTTGCACCCTTTTGAAATATTTTAATAATATTTTAAATTATCCAAACTGTAAACTTTCCAGTCATTTTTGGTTTTTGGTAGCACTAGGTTTGAACTCAGGGCCTTGTGTTCGCTAGGCCGTTTATTAATTAATTTCGCTTTAGTTATTTTTAGAGAGGGTCTTGCATTTTTGCCAAAAGGGCTGACCTGTGACTACGACCCTCCTACCTATGCCTCCGTGTGCCCAGCTTATCTGTTAAAACGGGGTTTCAGCTAACTTTCGGCCTAGGCTGCCCTCGAACTGTGATCCTCCCACGTGGCTGGGATTACATGTGTGCCCACCACGCCGGGCCTCCAGACGCACACGCAGAATCACCAGGAGGCGCCAATGGAGCCGGGGTCGGCCCTGGCAAACAGCGTGTCCCAGGTCTGCCTGTCACTCACAGCTGGATGGCCCAACGCGGGGACAGCGGCTGTGCACCGCGCCATACCGCACGCCCCGCCGGGGACCGGGACGCCGCCGCCCACGTGACCACCAGGCCTCGCCCTGAGCCTCGGCCCGCCACCTCCCTGCCCGGCCCGCCCGGCCCGCGCCCTCACCTTCTTCATCTCCTTGCGGCTGAGTCTCCAACGCCGGGGCGGCGGCATCATCTGAATTCAGAACGGAAAAGATTTGCAAGGAGACTACAATTATGAGAGTAAGCTAAGTAAGTGTGCATACAGGTTGGAGCGCCGACTTGCAAACAGCCCCCAACCCACTCCCACCCAGAACACGTGCGAAACAGGTGCTGAGGAGGGCGGGGCCGAACCACTGAACTGGAGTCCATTGGGCTGCTGCTCTAGGATGCTGCTCAAGGTTGAAAACCTGGTCCCACGTGGGAAATGCCAGGGACGTGGTTCTATACTATGGGGCCAGCCGCAGGCTTTAGGATGGGCGAGGGAGAGATGCAAAAACCATGAGCAGGGGAGCCCAGCTCTGGGAAAGAAAACCCAAGTTAGGTCACTAGGGCACAGGGTGGGCCGCTGGCAAAAACAGTCCTTACTATGTCCCCAGTGTCCCTACGAAGCAAGGCCACGAGGAGGGAGGGACTCTCCCGCCGCACTGGGCCTATGCTGAGTCGCGGGTGGGCGATCGTGCAGGAGAGGTGGAGGTGCGGGACAGGGACCGGCTGGACGAGGCCGTCCACTGCACAGACGATTCAGGTGGGGTCGTGACAATTCACGGAGTGGCCCCTGGCTCCCGGTGGGTCAGGGGCCAGGGGCCCAGGTGTCAGGAGCAGCCGGTGAAGGACAATCCAGACGTCCTGCCCCACATGGACACCAGGCACGGGCAGCAGTGGGGACTCCTGAGAGTCACCTGCTCTTTTCACCCAGGCCTCGGCGGCACTCACCATCTAGGGACCAGAGTACAGGACAAGGGCCAGCCCTAGGCTGACTTCCAGTGCACTCAACACAAATGTGATCTCTCCTGAAGCTTCCAGGGGAAAAACCAAAGAATTTTAAAAATACAGAACAAAACAAAACTTCCTTGTTAATCTCTTGAAAAAAATGTACTGTCCAAATAATGACAAAATGTAACATCACTTAAGTGAGTACCCGCATCTAATAATGACAGCACCAATAAGCTGGAGTTTTTCACTATTAGATAGGGAAACAAAAGGAAAGGTGGAATATAATTAAAACGCATTTGACATGTTAAGTCTCAAAAGAACGTGCTACAGAAAGGCCGTCACATGGCCTCTGTTACTGATGGGGTCTGAGAGGGTTTGGTGCCCTTCCCCAAATCACACTCAGCCCCTGTGGGCTGTGCTGAGCTGGATCGCCCAGGGGTGAGGCAGGTGTGGCCCTGGCTCGGGCTCCCTGTGCTCATGGACTCGGCCTTCCACCCTCGGCCCCTCCTGGCCTGCTACATGAGCCCTTTGACAGCAACTGACTCGGCACAGCACCCCTGGGAGCAAGTCTGCAGAGCTGTGTTTCCTGCCACTCCACTTCTTAAATGGCTGGATTCTACCCTCAGGCAAACACCGCTGCTTAATTTCAGGGATTCCTGCTCTGGGACACATGTCCGTAGATAAGGGCTTCAGTTCAGGGGATTCCTTCTTTCCTTAAATTCATTTTTGTGCACCCCCCACCATGCTGTGCGAGTTCTAACTTTGTCTCCTCCTTCTCAGCATCTGTTTTCTAATCACAAACATTGTCACTTTGTTTTCGATAACAGTTATCAGTGTCCACCCACCCCCACCCCCACCCACCCCCACCCTCCCACCCCCTGGTCATCTTTCAGACTCAAGTTCAAGTAGCTTATTCTAAAATCCGATGCAATCCTCCCTCTTTCTGTCTTAAAGACAAACCCTCTCTGGAGCCCACTTTCCCACGATGCCTGTCACTGCTTCAGCTGGACCATGGTCTCCTCTGCTCCCCGTCACATCTGTCCCCACCCTTCACATACCATACCATGGTCCAGGTCAAATGTGCACTCTGTGAAATCACCCACCAACCCCTAAGTGCTCCTCTCGTGCTCTCAGGACAAGCTGTGTCCCCACCGCCCATCCGCACCTACTCCATGCAGGTGTCTCAATAAAACAAGCACTGTCCACCAATGCTCTCCCTGGACAGGGATGCACCTGACCACCAGAGATTCACGTCATGCTTTAGGAGCAAGGTCCAGTAAACCTCATGTCTTTTTATTACTGCTCTTTGTCACTGGATCATGATATTATAACCCAGGCAAGAAAAAGAAAAATGGCTAAGATTTTGGCACAAAAAAACCGAATTTCATTTCTTCTTAAAAATAACTTCTGACTTTAAAGGTATGATGAAAGCAGAAAGTGTGTCCCTGGGACAGAGGGTGACAGCTGAAGAGGGACAAGGGGAAAAGGGTGGGGACCTCTGTGGCAGTCACAGCAGGCAGGCTGCAGCTGACAGAACAGCCCAGGCCACTGAGTGAGTCCTAAAGGAAAGTGGCTACTATTCTTCCTCAGAGGACTGGCTCTGGGGGTGGAGAAAGTTTCCCATTTTTATAAACAGACGTTCTTATCACGGTTCTTAGTAACCACAGGGCTTAGAATTCCACATGGAGCCAAAATATGGAACCTCCACTGTCTCACCAAGTGCTTTCCCACCCTCTGCAGGTGTCACCTGTCACATCTGCAGTGGTCCCTACACAAGCCACAGGGAGGAACCCCCATGGAACCCCTAGGTTTTCCAGCAGAGCCTGTGCCCAGAACCCTCCAGGTGACTGGCAGTACTATAAGTTAGAACATATTTCTTGAATGAATTTTTAAAAGTCAACTGTTTCAGCTTTTAGTGTGTGTTTACCACTATGTGTTCAAATTTCAACTTGAAACATTATTTCACAGCACAGATTGGATTAGGTACCATGTGTCATGCAGATTCACTAAGATAGTTACCTGCTTTTCCTGTGCCTTCCCGTTGGGGTAACTTTTCATTTACAGAGCCTAAAAGAAGAAAAGACAGAGTGAGTTATTTTTGCCTGCAAATGATTTTCAGTAGCTAAGGAAAGCAACTATTTTATTACATTTTGATGCGCTCAGATTATGCAAGCCTCCTAGTACCCCAGGTGGCCCTGCCTCCCACCCCTAACAGTGGGCTAGGAACCAAGGGTGAGCCCCAGCACTGAGCTGCTGAGCGTGGGACATCCATCAGCCCAGGGCAGTGTCTTCACCCAAAAAAAGTCACCATCTTCTCAACACGTGGGGCAAATGAGGCACAAAAGAAAACGGTTTTTAAAATAATACATGATTATGCAGCTGAAGGGAACTAGAAACCTGGCTGGGACAGGGACGTGACTCAAGCAGTAGAGTGCTGGCCTAACAAGCAAGAGCCCTGCGTTCAATCTCCAGCACCACAAAAGAAAAAACCACCACCAACCTGGTTCTAGCCTGATTCTGATTTATTGAAAAGAAAATGGAAGCCATGCTTTTGTGGAGGGTTACAGGGCAGATGCTAGCGGTTTGTCAGGAAATATTTTAGCAGGCTTATGTCGCAGGGTGAGCTGCTCTTTCCTTTCTGATGCATTTCTGACCGCCCTGCTCACATGTGGGGAACGCTCCACTCTGAACTTGGAACTTAGTGGTCGCTCTTCTCACTTTTGAATGTGACGCTGAAATGTAGACCAATATTCCACTTTATGGAGGCTTTAGAAGATCTGTCTTTCTTAGAGAGCAATAATGATGTGTGGGGGAACAGCGCAGCTCTGTCCTGCTCTGCCCAGGCCCTGCGGGGGAGGCTTCTGCCATATGGGAAGTGGGGTCACGTGGAGGACTAACAGACAGCCAGACCAGGTGCCTTGTCCACTAGGGAGGAGAAGGATCTTCTCAGCTGGTCTCTTGGCACCCCACTTTCAGGGGCCACTTGCTGTTTCCCAACCATCCCACTGGGTGAAGCGAGTCTTTTCCTTGCTGGGAGACTCGGGCAGACCCGCTGTGTGGCCTCTGGACTTCTCCAAGTGCCATAGCCCTCACCGTGTCCCTGTGAACCTTCTGCACCAATCCCAGCTTCTGAAAGCTCTTCAGTCTCTTACTCATCAGTTTATTTTTATCTTACATTGCTGCGATGAGTCAAAAATGTTCCTTCTTTTGACTGGAAATGAGTGTTTCAGTAATATTTCTGAGCATAAGAATGTGGGGTTGATTTGTAAGTGAAATGGAAGCTGAGTAAGTAGACAGTCCCCGGGCGAGGGCTCCATGATTGAATTAAGATAATGTTTTGTAACCCAAGGACGAGGCCATGTGGCAGGACGACAGCATGTAGCCACCTTCCTCCTCCCTTTGCAGCCTCTCTCTCTGCGCTAACCATCACTGTGACTTGTCCAGCAGGCCCCTAAGTTCAGTCAGCACGTACTTAAATGCATCTGCAAAAAGAATTCTGCCTTGCTCTTCATGTGCAAAAGAGAACTTGAACAGACCAAGTGTCCCTTGATCACAGGCTCCTGAGCCAAACACTGAGCACATGGCATTTGAAGGAGGCCAGGTAACGCACTTCCTTGGTCTCCCACGCCCAGGGACAGAGGCCCTGCTCCAGCATGCCCTGCAAGGAAGGCACTGGCCTCAAGGATGACAGCAGTGGGACCGTGCTCTCCACCCAGCACTCCTGCAAAGTCGCTGACTCCAGCACCAAAGAGCAGCTCTGCTTCACCCACCACCTTCCCCACAAACCCTGGGCTGTTGGCCACACCTTCAAGACCTGACCGCTGTTCAGACAGGACACTCCTGCTGGGCAACCCAGCACCCCGAGGGCTCACAGCTGAAAGTCTTCCATTTGTGAGTTCTTGTCGTTTTAAAGGGGTGGGTTTTTTAGCAATTAGGGTGAAGGAAACCACAAAATACAACATGCAGAAAACTTCCGTGGTTTAAGGAGGAATAATGAGCTCTGCAGTCCAAGTACTTGGTTCAAATCCAGCTGCACTCAGCAGGAACGAGGAGCTGCCGACAGCCCCAACAGGGGTGGCTGTGTTCTGCTGGAAGAGCTGGTGGTCCAAGATCTTCACAAGTAACAACTGTGCTTCAAAAAGAAGCAGGAAGGAGAGATTGTGACATGGTTTTAATGGGGTCAACTCAGGCTGGAGGGCACTTGTTCAGAGGGAGGAACAGAGAGGAGTGGGCTAAACATGCCACCATTGCAGAGGTCACAGGCCCCAGGGCACAGTGACTGGCAGAGGCTTTGCTGGGGAGGAGGGGCAGGAAGGACAATGACCTTCCCTAGCAGCTGGACAAGTGTCTCGTTTCTCTTTGTCACCGTGCTCTTCTTAGAGCGACAGGCAGCTTCTGCCCTCTTGTTCCTGAGCAGGCCAGTGTGAAAGTAACATAAAAGACCTGCTGGGATACACAGCACCACCGAGAGAGGACAGAGCCTGGGCGACAGGACAAATCTTCCGTCTCTCAGCTCTGCCATGGGTGATGCCCTTGCCTCTCCAAACCTTAGTTTTCTCCCCTACAAAATGGCAGTGAGGTGAACTCCTCACAGTGAAGGAAGCCCACAGAAAAGCCAGCACGTGATGTTGAATGTTCACATAGCCATGTACATCTCTGCTCACGTTCTGTAAGTACTGGGGCAAAGCAAAGGGCTCCACCACTGTAGCCCTGTGCCATGGCCTCTCCCCCACTTGTTCATTCATTCATTCAACACACAGCTTGCTTGCTGTTCCACTGGCAGACAATGCAAGGGATACAGCACCAGGAAATCCAGGGTAGCCAGTGCCAGTGGCTCCCCATGTAGTCCTATGTAACTGGGAGCCTGGGATCAGGAAGATCACAGTTCTAGGCCAGCTCAGAGGAGAAAAGTTTGCAAGCCCCCACCTCAATGGGAAAAAAAGATGTGGCCATGCTCCCGTTATCCCACAATGATGGGAAGCATAAAACAGGAATGCAGTCCAGCCATCCCGGGCAAAGAGCGAGACCCTATCTCCCAAAACGATCACAGCAAAAAGGGCTGGGGGAAATGGCTCAAGCGGCAGAGCAGCTTGGCTACCTAACAAATACAACACCCTTAGTTCAAATCCCAGTACCACCAAAAAAAGTCCAGGCTTGTCTGGAGAGACAGGCATTAAGCAGGAATCGTTCAGACCATTCCCAGTTTGTCTATGTGGTTTTACCTCCTGTCTATCACTTTCTGAGTATGTCACGTTCCTTCAAGCATTCAATGCTGCAAACAGCTGGTGATGCCCACAACACAGATGAAGGAGCTGAGGCTCAGCTAGTGAATGGCAGAGCCACCCCACGGTCTGGGGGATCCAATTTGTTCTGAACAGGGAGAGAAGCCGCTCTGAGGAAGATGAAGAGGTGAGTGGGTGCCAGCCAGAGAGGTGGGCAAGGGCACAGGGAAGTGAGCAGACCTTGAGGTCTGCAAGGGTGCAGGCTGTCTGAGGACATGGAGGACAACCAGGAGGTCCCTCTGCAAGTTCCAGATCTACCTGCCAAGGGGCACACTGTAACCATGGGACACAACTGCCCTGCCCAGGCCTGGGGTGGAGCCCACTCTGGACACCCAAGGGAGAGACTGGTCATCAGGCCTGTACACCTGAGCCTGGGTCACAGCGCTCTGGCTTCAGATGTAGGACCTAACTAACCTCAGACACCTAACCATGCACCCAAGTGCGAGCCACCAGGGGATGGAGAAAAGAGCTGGAAAGGGGTTGCGTGTGAAATGCCCAGCAGCTGAGCATGGGGGCCAAGGTATGGTCAGACCCAAGAAAGGTAGCCAGTCTATGATCGGGTAGTCAAAGGGCCCCCCTGAGAACCAGGCTTGGTGGTACATGCCTGTAATCCCAGCACTTAGGAGATAGGGTCTCACTACCTCCGTCCAAGCTGGCATCGACCTCATGACCCCTTGCCTTGGTCTACTGAGTGCCTGAATTATCTTGTGAGCCAAGCTGACCTGGAACTGGTGATTCTCCTGCAAGTAGTTTGGGGCCAGCCTGAGCTACACAGCAAGGGGCCTGACAGGAATACATAAGAATTGGGCACGGAAGTAGAGGAAACTCCTACATTTCTTCCTTTGGTCCTCAGGGGACATGAGGACCCAGGAAGGAGATGAAGACCTACACTCAGTACTGCCAACTTTTACAGCTGAGCAGAGAGTTGAAATGATGGTGTGTGCTACACCCCTCAGTGGCTTACTTAATCTGCTGGTGTCACTGGGTCACCTGGGATTTGACCCCAGACTGCAAAGCACAGTGTGGAGCACAGTGTGGATGGCCATGGTGAGCAGTGACCCTGGTGCGATCTAAGGCCACCAGCACCCTACAGGAAGGGAAGGGCCAATGCCTCCCCTTGTTGACGGTGGCTTCTGCAGTGAGAAGAAAGGCCCTTGGCTATCCAGTGCTCACACAGAGGGTGTGAGGGTCAGCCCATGTCCTCTGCTTCTCAGCAGGGATGGGCCAGGTGGGCCATGTAAGTCCCTCCCGTCTGTGCCAACTTGAAGCCATGCTTCATTTACTCTGATGAATGGCCAGAGACCCTTCTGCATGGGCTAAAGTTGTGACCTGTAGGCCCCCGACAACCAGGGAAGCTCCTTTAGGAGGGGCAGGACAAGGAGCTCAGGTTCCCAGGAGGCCTCAGGGCTCCACATCTGCAAGAAGCTACCCTGCCTTGACCTCCAGCATGAACACAGCAGTGATGGCTGTGTCAACAAATGTGCATGCAACGCAACCACAACTGGAGTTTCACATCAGCACGGCTAGGCCTGAGGCCAGCCAGCAACCTCCTTGGCAGGTGCTGGTCATCTCCCCTCCATTGCCTGTGACTTCTCAGCTTCCCCCATGGGGCAGAAACTCCCACAGAGCCAGAGTCTGTACCAACACTTCAGTCCCGGAATGCTAACCTATTTTACGTTTCCCTGAATGTGCATAATCAAGTAATTGTCAAGACACAGAGACTACAAGCTGCACACATCCCAAAGGGGCCATGGGTTGGGCCATGGCTGAACTTTGACCCATGCC